AGAAATAAGCAATTTTAACTAGTGACACGGACCGTGTCTATAGTGTCATTGTAGTGTCTGCCAATGACGTCATAACCCCTCGATTTCTGGTTTTGTTTTGTAGAAAACATGGAAACACCAAAGACACTTTAATATGTTGTGCGTTTTAATAGACCGGTGACGACCGCACAGAGTAGCATTATAACAGAACTTTCAAATGTATCTAGTATGATAAAACAGCGCTGCTTTTCCCCCCCACATATGCACGACCGGAAGGAGCGGAAGCGGTCGACTGTGGCATAATAAAAGCTCAGCTGCTTTCGAGCCGTGCGTCACGCTCATTCAGCAGCCTTGTTTCGCTTCTACGGCTTTCAGCCTCACCCTGCTTCATTCTACTACGTTAACAAATCATTAGCTCATCCATGAACATGATTTCTGCCCGAGTCCCGTCGGATTGCATCGGCTGTGGGGATGAAGACGACAACTCCCATGATTCCACACTCAGTCACGGCGTCATCAAACTACACCTTTGTCTATTTGTTTATTTTCAATACACGCCCTCTAGCGGCGAAAATTACATATTGTGCCTTTAACGTGTTACTTCATGAAAGCATCATCCTCTTACCCCACATCACCATAAATGCGGTTTATTCACATTGTAAGCCCTCTAAATGTCAGGTTTTTATTTTATCTTCTTCGTTTCTGTCTGCTTTTCACACAAAATAGCAATCTTTGCAGTCGTGACCGCAGCGCGTTAAGCCCCGTTCACACCAAGAACGAGAACTATAAAGATAACGATATTAGCGTCCACACCAGCGAACGATATCGTCTGTTTATTCTAGGCGCACGTGCGTCTGCCGCTTTAAATTCTTGAGCTCGTGACAGCAGGATGGATTCTGATTGGCAGTCAATTTTTTCTCGTTCATCAGCTGGAGAAAAATCGTTTTGAAAGTGATTCCAACGATATCGTGTCTCTTTGTCTTTATCGTTACAGTTTTGGTGTGAACTATGCTATTGTTTAATATTGAGAACGATTTTTAGAACTATATATTTATCGTTATCTTTATACTTATCGTGCTTGGTGTGAACGGGCCTTTAGTCTGTGAGTGTTCTTTATTTTCTTTGACCCTAAAGCCCAAGCGGGTGAAAAGCAAAGCAATCCAATCGAGGCGTGATATTTCCGGGTCCTATGACTTATCAGGTGGTTGTCCGGTGGGAGGAGAGGGAGAGGGAGAGTGTGCTTTCTGTTTGAATGCTTTCCTTACCCTCGTCCCTGAACCCAAGCACTTCTCCAAACTGTGTGAGGGAGAAGAGGGCAAGTGGTTGTTCATAGTTGCCAAAACTTTCCTCTCTCATAACTGACATTTGGCAGCATGGCAGGCGGGTCCGTGTCGGAGTGCAAGGAGTATTTGTTTAAAGTTTTGGTAATCGGGGAACTTGGTGTGGGAAAGACGAGCATCATCAAGCGGTACGTGCATCAACTCTTTTCGCAACACTACAGAGCGACCATAGGAGTGGATTTTGCGCTCAAAGTCCTCCACTGGGACAGCAAAACGCTAGTGCGGCTACAGCTGTGGGACATCGCAGGTAAGGACGTGTCTTAAATCTAGGTTTCAGTTCAACTTTTTGCGTCGTCGCGTGGTCTCTTAAATCCTGACGTAGCATATTACATGCGATTAACCGTTCCAATAAAGATGATAAACAAAATATAAAGTCTGTAGCATAGTTTATTAAAAGCCTAAAATGTAAATTATTTCATGTAAAATGTAAAGGTTTAATTTGATTTCATGTGTCCAACTTGAATCAGGTCAAAACAATGTCAATTAGAACCTAAATAATTTGCATTTACAGTAAACTCAACATGTACTATTTTTTCTCGTTTGAAAAGTTGCTCAAACTGTCAATCAGTTGTAAATATATTTCCAGGTAATATTATTTGTGACATTTTACCACAACATTTGAAGACAAATGCTTTTTACTATCAGCCCACTCACCGTTTCTCGAATCATTATGTTCAAAAGAACGCTCAAAAGATTATCCTTTCATTAGAATCGTTCAAGTGATTTAAACCACTTTAAAAAAATCTATATTTACTTGAAAATTCTTGACTCAAAAACAGCTAGGACAGATTCAATCTAATTTGTGAACGAATCGTTCAGTCCGCGTTAGTGAACCGGTTCAATTGTATCATTGAAAAGATCCGACTCGAAGATCGATTCGGACATCGCTTTGATTCCAGAATCAAGATCTGCTCCGGGTCCGTGTCGGAGTGCAAGGAGTATTTGTTTAAAGTTTTGGTAATTGGGGAACTTGGTGTGGGAAAGACGAGCATCATCAAGCGGTACGTGCATCAACTCTTTTCGCAACACTACAGAGCGACCATAGGAGTGGATTTTGCGCTCAAAGTCCTCCACTGGGACAGCAAAACGCTAGTGCGGCTACAGCTGTGGGACATCGCAGGTAAGGACGTGTCTTAAATCTAGGTTTCATTTAATAAACCTATACAGATGCAGTTTAAAGTGTTAAAGCCTTATAAAATTTATAAGGTTTGTTGTACTTGTCTCAACATTAAATAAGCCTTCAGGCACGCACACGTAGCACATGACTCTTGATGTAATGCCGGGCTTGAGAGGCTAATGATGGCAAGTCCGAGTTCATTCCGAGATTCGGTTCCTTTGAACAGTTCAACTTTTTGCGTCGTCGCGTGGTCTCTTAAATCCTGACGTAGCATATTACATGCGACTAACCGTTCCAATAAAGATGATAAACAAAATATAAAGTCTGTAGCATAGTTTGAGTTTGATTTTTGCATGTTTATTTCAATTACACTTTATTAAAATCCTAAAATGTAAATTATTTCATGTAAAGGTTTAATTTGATTTCACGTGTCCAACTTGAATCAGGTCAAAACGATGTCAATTAGAACCTAAATAATTTGCATTTACAGTAAACTCAACATGTACTATTTTTTCTCGTTTGAAAAGTTGCTAAAACTGTCAATCAGTTGTAAATATATTTCCAGGTAATATTATTTGTGACATTTTACCACAACATTTGAAGACAAATGCTTTTTACTATCAGCCCACTCACCGTTTCTCGAATCATTATGTTCAAAAGAACGCTCAAAAGATTATCCTTTCATTAGAATCGTTCAAGTGATTTAAACCACTTTAAAAAAATCTATATTTACTTGAAAATTCTTGACTCAAAAACAGCTAGGACAGATTCAATCTAATTTGTGAACGAATCGTTCAGTCCGCGTTAGTGAACCGGTTCAATTGTATCATTGAAAAGATCCGACTCGAAGATCGATTCGGACATCGCTTTGATTCCAGAATCAAGATCTGCTCCCAGGCTTTGTCCAAATACCCACACTTGCAGTCTTTGCACTTGACCACTTGATTACTTAAATTACGTATTTCCTGTATTTGGCCGAAGTCTTCAAGTGGGTGTGAAGACCACAAGTGGGTGTGGAACTTTTCATTACCTGATGGGACACACTTATAGTGTTGTAAAAATGCAAGTGTTTTCACTTTATTTTACTTTTAATTTGAAATACTTTGCATTTTAAAATCAACTTCTAAATGTCTGTGCAGTAGTCCCTGTAACATGACCATTTTAATTTGTGGTGCTTCTAATTAAATGATAAAAAGCAGTTGCAAATGTTGTACAAAATAAATATCACCACAACTAATTTTTGCACCAATAAAAGTAAAAACACTGTTTTTCTACCAAATTATTTGTCATATCTAATTGTTATATTAATATTTAACTTGCATTGGAAAGGTTTCTGTGACCTCTCGCGAGATCTCGGCAAAAAGTCTCACGATTTATTTCCAGAACATGATGCATGATGGGATACACTTAGCGTTGAATAGTGCTCCGGAGCGGTATTCGAGATAGTGTGGATTTAGTATCCATTAAGGGCACTGCACTTTGGCATTTTGAAGACATGGGACAGACTTGCACACTTACTTCCTGTCGCACGCATGCGCTCTCAAGTGGCCAAGACCGCAAGTGTGGGTATTTGGACAAGGGGCAAGTTAGGTACCCCAAGGCTACTTAAAATGGAAATTCTGGCTATTATGATTAATAAACGCAAAAATTAAGTTTGGGAAGAATGCGCTAAACTTTCTGAAAGCCCAGAATAAGTTTGAGTTCTAGCTTGCTGTGTTCACGTCAGCGAACATAATTACTAACGCAATGTAGGTCATGTTGTGACACTAGACTAGAGAGAATGGAGGGGAGCGATATGCTTCATACAACTATTATGACTTTGTGAGCTGCCTATCTAGACCTAATCTGGGCCAGAACGTGCTTAAAATGTTGTCTTAGTAAGCAGCTCACTGGGTTGTGAGATGCAGCCTAAATAGCCTAAGTTTACTAACCAATCTGCAAGTTATCAAATTCCACATATGTGTTATCTTTGTTGATTCGTTGGCACAAACAGACCCACAGTAGACTACCACCAGTGCTGTGTAACTAAATAGTGAAATCAAGTATCAACAGAAACCTTGACGTGACATTACGGAATGCAAGCAAGTCATAAAACAAGAATGCAATCTTTCTTTCTTTCTTTTCTTTCTTTCAATGTCTCTCATGTGAGATGACAGATAATGAGAGAATTGTGTAACTGTACTAGCCTTCACTTGCTTATAAAACCTAATTCGGCAGATTGCCTGGCGCTCCACATGAAAAAGGAACACAGTTCTTATAATACTGCTTGTGGACTTTTTTATGTACTTTACACACATCTACAAGTCAGAGATATAGGCTACCATATCTATTCTGTTCTTTGTTTAATATGTTCCTATGCAACATTTTTCCCCCACCCATACAATACAGTGTCATACATTTAACCCTGTAATGTCTGACATGAAATAATAGTAATATATATTTTTAAATATTTTAACCTTTAGACAAATAAATTAACATACAATGCAGTGCAATACAATTATATTTCATCCATATATGTATAAGCAAGTAAACCTAAGTTGCTTCAGTCCAGTAAATGCTTATCTTAAAAAAATAATTACAATATAAAGATTTCACAGCAAAAAGGTGGACAGGATTCTAGTATTTAATTATACTAAAATGCCTTTTGCTTACTTAAAAAGTATGGAATATCAATCAGAAGGTGGAAGGCATGTAGAAGATTGGTTACAACAAGTTTTTTTTTTAGCAAAGGTTTGATCATGTTTATAATTTAGAGGCCTTAGAATTAATGTATCAGATATGATCTAGCTTTATAGGGTTAATAATATACTTAAGAACTCAGCATTTTCACACTAAAGTGATTGTGAGACATTGGAGAGCTGCCTGTCTGTAATCCATTCACACTCTCTCTCTTCCCATTAGTAGACCCACACTGCGATCTCTATATTTCCCCAAAGACCATTTATGTCTTTCCACTGCAGTATTTCTTGAGTACAATAGGACCATGGAGGCACGTATAATTCAATATACTGTACCAACTGTCCACAGCAAACAAATGGACAACTTTAGCTTTCAATTTAATTTCAGTGCCATGTGCATTAGCCTCCTGTGAAATTGAATCATGAGGATTTGTAAGGCTGGGATGGTTTATGTGCATCTGTGTTTATAGGTCTAAATAATGATATATCACCTTATTCCTTATCTAAACTGTACTCTGTACTAAATTCTGTACTCTGGCATGATACAAGTATTTTCAAATTGAAATACATCTCTGATGTGCTCTTTGTAGCCATGTTTCTTTAATAGATGTTTTGAATGTCAGTCTGACACAAATTACATTGTTACTAGGACACAATGCAGAGACAAAACATCTGACATCTGTTCTTGGTTACACACATAAGACACTAACAAACTTGTTCACTATTATGAAACTGAACAAGATATACAGCAGAGAAAATGTACATAATTTAATTGTCCATATTTAACCAAGCTGATTAGCTTCATTTCTGTTCATCTTAGTATACGAGGAAAGACTCTGAAAGTGAGAGATATATATATATATCTCTCTCTCACGGTTCTCAACCAATCAGATTTGAGAACCAGAACGAACTGTTGTATAAATATATATATATATATATATATATATTTATTTATTTATTTGGAAGAGTGTTAGTTAATAAGAGTTTTTACTTCAGGAAGTTTCAAATTATTTTTTTCTTGTGAAATTACCTGGACATTCTGGTTATTAACTAAGCATTTGGACATTTTGAGTACAAAGTCCAGGCAATTATGAACAATCAGTACAGGCCCTACAGCCTGGGAAAAACAACACATGTTATGTTACAGGAAGTGGAGATTAAATAAATAAGATTAGGTATATTTTATGTCAAATAAAAATATACATATAGCAAATAGAGCATGCATATACAGTGGGTACGGAAAGTATTCAGACCCCCTTAAATTTTTCACTCTTTGTTATATTGCAGCCATTTGCTAAAATCATTTGTTAATTTTTTTCCTCATTAATGTACACACAGCACCCCATATTGACAGAAAAACACAGAATTGTTGACATTTTTGCAGATTTATTAAAAAAGAAAAACTGAAATATCACATGGTCCTAAGTATTCAGACCCTTTGCTCAGTATTTA